CTTGCTTATGGAAAGGAGTCATCATTGCTTCCAGAAGGAAGTGACATAGAATGGAAAGAAACAAAAGCTTGGCTCATCGAAATCTCACATGGTTAGTAGGGGACTTAAAAGGAGAAATAGCTGCCTTGTAAGAATGGTTCAGTATTAGTGGCTGTTTAAGCGGTTCTTTTTCCATTCAGCTTTTACAAAAATAGCTGTAAAGGAGCATGTGAACCTCAGAGCATGCAGTCTATTTTTTGGTACATCTTGGGTTACATTTGTCAGCTTTAGATTCTCTAGTACGGCGCATTTAGTCTGTGCAAAATGTACAATACAAGAGATTGGTTTCTTGGGCCAAAAAATCCTTTGAGTTCATTCCTGAAAGGTGATGATTGCTTCAGTGATACGACATCGCCTGCTCAAAGCAAGTTGTTTGAATCAATAGTTCTTCACTGCTGATTGTATTCTGTCTGATGTACTATTAAGTTAGTTCACTCAATTCTTTTGTTTGGGAGCTTACGCTAAGATTTTGTATGTACCGTATGCTTTTTCCCATCAATCAAGCATGCACCTTACATTTTTGGCTCCAATATAGGGGAGATGGTTAGCTTATTCAGATGGATCCAGAGAGCTTTTAAACCTCCTGTGAGACGACTTCTCTTGCCAACCTTTTCTACAAAAACCACTAACCTAGTTTCAATACACTATCTTTGCATTGCCCCGGAAACATTTTTCCACAACCTGCAGGCTGTGAATAATTCCCTAGTATGCAGATTATTGACCTTATCTGGGAACATCAAAGCACTGCAGTCAGTGTGCTGATTCTGTGCCTTTCTATCCAGTACCTACAATGTAAGGTTCCTTTCAGCAGCACATCAAGTGGTATCTGGGAATCTGATAAATATAATGTAGTATTTGAACTGATTCCAGCTTCTGTGCCTAGCAATAATTTGGTCTTTTGTCTATGCCAATAAAAGGCAAGGGGAATCTTGCTTTATTCAATTGGGCATTCAGTAAAGTATTCACATAGAGGGATTTGGCTTTTCTCCTTTGAGTGTGCTGCTGCTTTTCACTTACAAGTACTCTTGATGCATACGTTTGAATATTGCAATGAGGAAAAACCTGGATCCTCAGTGCTGGGAAGACAAAATGCTGTTTCCAGTGTCATACTGTTGTACCTGGCTAGGCACAGCATGGCACAGCACTTACCATGGACACTTGTACAGGAGGTAAGTTACAGTGACAATGTAAATACAGTTCAGCGTGCCTCACACTTGCCGTGGAAGGAGCTTCTTGCAATGAAAAGAGTGTGCTAGGAGAATTTCAGTCCCAGCTATTTAACTTGTTGTGCTGTCTCCCTTAGGGCACTGACTTCAACAAAGTAAATGAAGGTCTTTTAAGTGGCTTCAGAGCCTCTCAAGTATAATTATCAAATTGTGACTTTTAACTGAGCTATGCTTTGAACCAGTGACACAAAAGCAAAAAAAAATTGATTGTAATAACCAGACTCTTGTATATGCTGTTCTTATATTGCTTCTGTGGGTCATTGTCGGTTACCTTTTTAGATACGATTCTTTGTGTTTCTTGTATATCTTAAAGCATGGCTGAAAATTATATCTATTCAGAGATGCACAGCTGGTTTAGTTACATGTGGGAATTCACAACTTCCATTTCTTTGGCTCCTAATCCTTAAAGAGGATGTATGCATAGATACAGAATCTCTGCTTATGTTTGATACTCCTCTTTTTTTCTTTTTTAAATACATATGTTGATCCTCCAGCATACTCACCAGTTTATAAAACCACAGGTTAGTGGTTCTCAAGCCATTGAACCTTCTTGCAGAACTTGCCCCAGGGAAATGTTGTGTTTGTAAATCTTGCTTTATTATGGTTCCACAGACCAGCTGCTAACTGCTTATCTTTGTCTGGTGGACTTACAGTTTGGGAACCTCCTCCCTGAGGCCCTAGGTGTGAAACCTGGTTTCATCACTGGGGACAAAGAGAGAAAGAGGTTGGTTTTTTTGGTCCTCTGTGGCTAGGGTTTGCTAACTTCTCAGGAACATACAACCTCAGTTTTCTCTTTTCTCACCTCTGAGCTGTTCAGTTTACAGTGGTTACTTTTACTCATGATCTTTTTATGTTACTCTGGGTTAACATATGGGATCAAAGACCAAAAAAAGAATATAGAGAGATCCTTTCAAAAATGTGCCTGAGGCAACTAGCATTTGCACAGTAACTTTGACTTGTGGCTCCAGCTACTTTTCTTTTTCTTTTCCAGAAAAAATAATAGTTTTTATAAAACACAAAATAACAAGAATATGTGCTTGTTTAACCGGTAGAGCTTGAACTGCATTGTATGCAAGGATCAGGTCTCACTGCCCTACATGCAATGTGCCATTCCTGGTTCGTGTTCTAATTGTGAATTAGAAGACAAAGCTGAATCAAACCTTCCCTCCTCGCCCCCTCCTCCAATTCGCGTAGTCAAATCTAGTAAGAGGAATACAGGTTTGTTCCCATGGACTGCTGTGCTCTGGTGCTTGTGCTGAGCAGTTGGCTAAATCTTCAGTAAGATAAAGTAAAATACATTGCATGAGGTGAAATAAATCTTGTTTTATAACGTGGGGTTTCAGACCACTCCTGCTTTCTCCAGCACATGAGAGGTTGCTGTACCAAGAGAATGATTTCCCTTTGTCATGTGCTGACTCCTCTTGAACTCCTCTGTCGCTGTGGTTCTGCGGACTGCTGCAGAATGACTCTTCTTGAATCATATTTGCATATCATTTCCTTTCATCACAGGCTGCTTGCTGGAAAGCCAGCTCTCCTGTGCCTTGTATTGGTTGCTTGCTTCTACCCTTAAAGAAAGATGGTTTAGATTTGTTCCATGTCTGCTCTGACCTTGTGTTGATAGTTTTTGTATGTGGTCTGTACAACATCTCCCCCTTTCTGGCTAGGTCCCAAACTGTGTTTATATTTACAGTCGTTACCTAGCATTTAGCTCTAAGAGTGGCTTTTCCCCAGTCCTTTCTGAGACCAATATTAGCAAACAAGTTTCTTACCTTATCTTTGGGAAGTCCAGGCTCAAATTTTAATCTGATGTAGTTTACCTGGGTATGAACCTCACCTCAGACAGATCAAACAGTCTGTTTTTCACATGTGCTTTATGATGGAAGAGGGTTTTTTTGCCTACCATCAGCCCAAAAGAATTCAATAGAACAAACCTGGAATTCCTCTGCCTCGGCTTCATTCTGTATTTTCATTTAACATTAGAAAATATAAGTCTGATTCCATTTGCAGGGATCCTGCCGGAGTGTCTGTGCTCACTTTCTGTTGGATAAAGTACGTACTGTAAAGGTAACAGAGTGTGCCTGTGTATACAGTTATGTCACTGCTGGGGGAGGTCTCCGTGTATGTATTTGGTGGGTGTAGTGCTGAGACCAGTAATACAGGAGATACTGTTGGTTCGTTTACAACAGAAAGCTACTACTATTTTGATATGTCTGTTTGATCTCCTATTACAGAACACTTATAGCACTATAAAAGCACTTGATCTGCATGTACTCATTCTGGTGATAAAAATACCGTAAACTCTTACTATGAGTCATTTTATATGTATATAGCTTTGTCTATACTCAGCTTTTAAAAACACAACTTCTTAAAAAAAAAACCCAAACACAAATGAGTCATATGATCATCAGTAAAATGTCTAAGTACGTATTAGAGTTTACAAAGTGTGGTCCATGGATTAAATTACTTATAGTAGGCATTTGTGCTTTATTTGAGATTCTTGGTTAAATCTCAAAATGCTCAGAAAATTCCCTGCAGTATTAGCCCAACTCCAGATTTGCACCATTCTAGCTAAAAGATTCTTACTCTTTTCTATGAAGTTGAATGAAGAATATCTTCTAGCTCAGTCTTTGGGACAAAAATCTCTTTTGAAGGGATCCTCATTTCTCTGTATTCTTTAAGTCTCTTAAAATTGTAGGCAGGACAGCTTTAATCTGGAAGTGAACCAAGACCACCTATACTCCATTGTGGTTGAGAAAGAAAACTTGTATAAAAGTGGGCTCAGCTGCCTCTCATTTCTCATGTCAATGTGTTGCTGCTCTGTTTTACAAACTAGAATTCCTATTTGGGTGTTTTAGTGGATGTTTTCTTCGTTTTGCTTTTATCTTTCCCTTCAGAGAGCTCTTCCCGGTTCTTGTCTTATCCGTCATTTTTGGCTTGTATGTTCCATTAGCTATAGTGCTCTGCCTGGAGGTCTACCTTACTGCCACCTAACAAAGCACTGGCCGTTGTTTATATAGGAAATTGGGTACTTCTTGCTAACACAACACCCGGCTGGATTTCAGATAAGGTTCAGGCTCTCATGGATATCGGAAACAAGCTTGGTTGTAGTAGGTAACAAAAACCCCACCATCTTTCCTGTATTAGGGCACTTAACTGTTGTGGAAACGGAAAGCGAGCGGGGAGCAGGAGCTTTTTCTGAGGGCCTATGCTGTAATGCTGTGTGAAGATTCTTGCTCTCCTGAGAATTCGAGGCCTGAGCCCCTGTTGAAGGGAAGATACTGGAAGTGGTGTACCCAAAGATGTGACTCTTTCCAAAAACTGATTGGTAACTAGTATGAGTTAGCTCTTCCCCAATAAAATCAGATCATGAAGGATGGTAGAGAGGCAGTTTTAATTTTAAATCCATTGTTACCCCTCATGTCTACAGTATTTCATAACAGAAAGCAGATGGTCTCTTGGAAGGCGTAGTGTGGAAATTTGGGGAGAAGAGGGAAGGGTCTGGTTACAGTTTTGATGTGGGAGTTCCGTCATCTACTCTTATTTTTTTAATTGTCTCATGAATTACTTGAGAAAGTAAGTTATTTTCCCAATCTCTACTTGATAACATACTGCAAAAGGGCCCTCCTGATATCTTTTCTGAATAGATGTTTTCTGAAATATTCATGTGAAAAAAATACCGTAAGTAGTGTTTATCTTCAAGATTCATCCTCATGCAAGATACTTTTTTTCATGCAGATTAGAAGTGATACATCACAGATCCTGGATGAGACCGTTCCGCTCATTAAAGACAAGGTGATGGAAATGAACCACGTCTACGCCAAAGTTGACAAATTAGAGGTTTGTTCATTGCATTAGAAAATTTACATCCTTCTTTTTATGTGTTTTGTAGGTTAACTGTCCAGGTATTTGAATGGAGCACTCAGATGTTTATGGCTCTCTGTTGTCTTATGTTTGTTTTTAAATCAATATGTTTACCCATGGTTCAGCACATATAAGTGTTTATGGGTTTGGAATATCACTGAGTAATTTATTGCTGTGGATTCTACAATTCCTAATGGTAGATTAAAAGTATTAGTTGTGGTTTTGATGTTAATAATAATGCTAATAACGTTAATCTATTTTGTGACTTGAAGGAGTATCTGTGAAACCATTTATAACTTTAAAAATTCAAGGCTCACATCCAGTGCTGGAGATACCCATCTTAAGTTGTTGATGATCGTCTTATGTGGCAGTGGAGAGATTTCTGAGCTTCCATCTTCTGTTGTGTCTGGTTTGGGGTTTATTGTATCCTGAGTGAGGGAAGCCAGTATGACTCACTAAGATGATGCCCTCACCATATTTAGTAAGCAGTATGTTAAAATTTGTGTCAACTGAGGGCAAGTTTGCCTCTGGGAGGAATGTAATGAAAACATGATGAGATACATTGTGTAATGTTTAAAATCGGTTTTAACTGATTCAAAGTGTTTGTGGCATTAAATCCAGATAGGCAGTGCTTAAGCTTCAGGCTCTACCCCTGTACAAAGTGATATCCTCTGGTAAGCTTTATTACTGTGGGAGGGACAGGACAATTATTACTGTGGGAGGGACAGGACAATTGACGTAGCTTTCAGCAAGTTTTCTTTAAATGCCATTCATTTTTTTAGTTTGCATTTTTACACCTGCATTCGGTAACAGACTTATCGAACCACTTCATATTTTATAGACTTATACAGCACCAGGAGAAAGCTTCAGACAGGAGATTGAAGCAAGGCATTTTAGAACAAAAGTGGGATTCAACTGTTAACCTGTTTAGAACCCATCTGATTTTCAGAACCAAGTACCCCAGTCTGAGACATAGCTAGCGGGTCCTCGGTATACTTGGCAATTTGGCCATACTTGAATGTATACTTAAGGTAGGACTGCGCGAAGTGGCTAACTGAATCAGGTTCCAAACCAGCTGTTTCTGGAAGTGTCTCACCCATTTAGGTCTTTTTGCAAATTCCATACTTATAGGTGGTTGGGATTTTGGGGGGAGAGTGGGGGGATGGTTTTGTCTTTGAACAAGAAAATAAAATTAAAACTCTAAGCAATTACTTGTGCCAAAAGGGCTCCTTATTACTTTTTTCCCCGTCTAATACAGGGAGGGGAGAAAAAAAAACCTTCCTGACTCCATTCCTTTAGCACAACTGTAGGGACATAGTAATTTGGAATATGAAGAAAACACCAGTGTTTGCTAGGCTACAGGTTGCCCTTGAATAATGCAGCAGAATTTTGTTGAGAGGCTTTTTTTTGGTTATCAGGGGAGGATAATACCTTGATTGGCTAGGAATCAGTTTTTCTCCCTAATGTTACCAGCTATAATGGCAGTAATCCGAGAGCACAAGATTAAATTGGCAATTTGAGCAGTAGTTAATGTTTTAATTAGAATTTTTAAATATAAAGCTTAGCGTGCATGGGGATTTTCAAGGGAGAAATTCTCTTGTACTCCCAAGAGTAGAAAAGGAAGGGACTGTTGTGTAATGGTTATATAGGATGAGAATCTGCTGGGTTTTAATTTTGATATTGCCACTGGTACATTTTTGGCAATTAATTTACCTGTTCAGCCTCACCTTACCCATCCCTAAAATGGGCAGTGCTCAACTTCTCAAAAAAAAAAAAAAAAAAAAAAAAAAAGAAGTAAAAAAAAATTAATCATTAACAGAGATCAAAACTCTTTATGAACTGTTACGTATTTTAACAAATAAATACTGTGTTCTTTCTAGTTGGCTTTCCCTTATGGCTCAAATTTCAACTGAAACTGAATATATGTATGTTTTAGGTCAATAATTCCTGACCTTTTTTAGCTAAAGTCACCTGTCGTGATGTCTTCCTCTGCTGTCTCCTCCCTCCTACCACTTTGGCTACCTTCTCACTCCCACCAGTAGTAGCAGTGTCTTTGTGGGTTCTGAAGAGTCTTTCATCTCACTGCTGAAATGTTGCCAGACCTTTGGACACTATGCAAGTGCTTACATACTCTGTATGCTGAAAAGGGAGCAAAACTCTGTCCTTAGGTAAGGAGAAAAATTAGCCTTAGGTCATGACCAGTGGATCTTCTGATGGCTGTAAACATCTGTAGCCTACTTATGAGTATGTGCCCCTTGGATATTTATATTAGCAATAGTGCACTCTGAAATCTTGTTAAAGCTTTTTCTTTGACTTCTGATCTCTGGCTAGGATAAAGTTGAAACCTAGCACAGGTGCTTGTCATTTTCATTAGGTGTTTTTCCTCTCTCTGTAGGCATTCGTTAAAATGGTTGCACACCATGTTTCTTTCCTAGAAGAGCAAGTGCTTGAAGCAGAGAAGAGCCATGGCACCTTTCTTAATACTGTTTGCAAATTATTTCAGTGTGCAACTCTCTCGTCATTTAAAAACGTGAGTATTTTTAAAGTTGCTTCCAGCAGATGAGAAAATGATGTTAAATACCCTTTCTGTATCAAATGTGGCATTACAGCATATTTAATTATTAATTTTAAGTGGTGTGAAGAAACCAGCTACAGTTTGCTTTTATAAAGAGAATTTTTTTACATTCTTTAAAATGTTCAATAATTTTCTTTTTTTTAAGAGTTTCTGCTTAGGCATTGAATAGTTCCAGCAGTAATTTTTTTAAGATCTCTACATTTTGCTCCTGAATTAAAGGATTTTCTATGTATATGCAAATAGGAAGCTTGTTATACATCATTTGGCAGTGAGAGACATAAGCATAGACCATTCTTTCTATTTAGTCTTTGTTTTTATGTCAATTATGGTGAAATTACTTTATAGGGTCATCCATGGATGAGCACTAGAGGGGGATGAGAACTCTTTCAGTGAGTTTTAGCGATATTTGCTGGTAGAAGAATGTAGAGAGTCAGGGATAATGAGATCTGATGTGGACTCGAGGAAGCTTTATGTTCTCGTCATCCTTTCTGTCCTTGTTCTTTTCCAATAATGTCTTCGTACCACTTACCTTTACACTCTGTTTTCCTTCTCTAAGCTCCCAGGTCTTTCTCTAAATCTGTCATTTCCCCAGCAATTCATCACAATCTCCAGTTAGCCTTTTCTGAACTCATCCCTTCCATTCCTTCCTCTCCATCTCAATGTGAATCTACCATGTTTTCAGTCTTAGCATGTCTCTGTCAGGATCCTTGTTCTAGTCTCAACTACCTCCCTGCTTTCTTTTGTCCCTTCTGTATTCTGCCATTCTGTTTCCCTCCTCATTTTTTTCCAAGGCGCTTCTGCGCCAGTACATATAATACCGGGTAGGCAATAATACACAGGTATCGATGATCATGTATGTACAGCTGAACCACTTCAGATTTTTGTCTGGCGTCATAGCAACTTCTGGAAGCTTCAGCTGCAGGACGAGTCCAGTTCAGTTTCTGCAGATCCAGGACAAACCTTAACTGCTTAAAGAGAATAATGAATATTCAGTCTGGTTAACAGAGGCATGGACAAGAGATGGTGCATACTGATTTCATCTTCAGCTGTCAAACTCTAATGAATCTAGAAAACCACAGTTTATGTAGACTCAGTAAAGAGTTGCAACTTGGCCAAGTTTGGTAATATTTTCATAGGAATGGGAAAATATGTCCCTGATATGAGGGCAGTTTACTGCCAGTTCAAAATCTCTGCTGTAGCTTATGAAGGCATTGGAGCTTTTGAGAAGAGCTAAACAACACATACTTTTCCTTAATTTCATTATCTGAATTGGCTTGATTTTGTTCCCTAAAACTTTCCAAGCACGTTAAACCTGCAGCGGATACCCAGTCTGGAAAATATATCAAAGCTGGAAGTTTTGCAAGGTTGGTCTGCCTATACAAATAATGTGGTATAACTGGGATGCCAGTAAGAATGTGGAAAAGGCCAGACTATTTATTCAGAAGCTGGCTTGAGTTGGGCTTGAAGACAGTATAGTGTTCAATTTTTTTTCCTTATAATTACAAAGAAAAATTGTGAAATATTGCATAATCATGTATTCAAGCTTGCAGGCATCTTGGAATGATAATATTACTGAACGGAAGAGAAAAATAAATAGGGAATGGTGCAGCTTCCTGCTGTACTGATCTTATCCCTCCCTCCCACCATTTCCCCCAAAAATAGTACATCTGGAAAGCATGGTGAGAGAGGTAAAAAGTATGAGCACAGATAAGGAAAATTTCTCTCACAGGAATTTCTAAACAGACGACTCAGCCTGAGGGAGGACAGGAAAGAATAGAGATTTGTGAAGTCATTCTATATGTGGAGCAGGTGAATAGAGAAGGATTATTCACTCCCTCCCATAATTCAAGAACTAGGGTCATCCAATGAAATTATCAGCAGGCAGGTTCACAATACAGAAAGGGAAGTACTTACTTTACGAGATGTATTAATATGCCATAGAACTTATGTCCATGGGATGTTATATATCCCCAAAGCAATTAGACAAATCCACAGCGAAAAAAATCCAGCAATGGATATTAAACAAAATACCTGTCCTTCAGCCACAAATTTTTGAAGACTGGGAAGTAAGCTTGTGTATTTACCCTTTAAACCCTTCCCTAGGCAATCACTTGAACTGGTCACCACTTAAGAGGGATTATTTGGCTGCATGGACCTTTGAATGATGCAGTACAGCTGCTTGTTAATAACTTTTACACTGTGGTTCTCAGTGTAAATTCTGGCTCTGAATGACAATGCTCTGTGCTGGTAAGGGATTGTTCACTTTAGTAGAAGTGTGCAGGAAAGGATTGAATTGTTTAAGGACATAAATGGAGTTTGAATTTCTACAGCAACTTTCCTTTTGGTTTGACTGTTGCCCGAAACCTAATACGATCCCTGCCAACCCTCCAACTTTCTGTACTCTCTCCAAATCTGCTTCTTTCTAGTTGTCCATCCCTTTTCCCCTGTTATGTAGGATATCATTGCAGAGATGCCCCTTTGGCTTCTTTTGCCATTTGAAAATTAGGACTGTCCTGACCAATTTTGTAGGTGCATTTAACTTGTTCTGAAATGATAGTATCCAACTCGTGTATCTTTTCTCCACAGCATTGATCAGACTGGGTAAAAAAGTTTGATAGTTCCCCTCTCTCCGAGTAGAGTGTGTCCGTGTATATGTATTTCAGCTAAGTTTTTTCCTCTTCTAATTAAACATGCATACTATTTTAAATGTAAGGGAAATCTAATTCTCATTGTTTTGCAATTGCATTTCAAAGTACAGCAAAATCCTGTAATGTTTGTCTTTTTTATTTTTGGCTTTGTTTTTTGGGTATTCAGAAAGTTGTTTCATATAGACTTCCAGTGCACAGTAACACTGGGAAAGGTGTCTAATCTGTGCGAGAAAAGTGAGTAATCAGAATTCACTTTTTGTGTTAGGAATATCCAGAGGTGGTCTGAAAAGAAATGACCTTATACTAAATATAAATTACAAATATGACTGGGTAAGTCTGACAGGTTATAAGAATATAACACCTCCTGAGGGAACAGAACAGAGGAAATAACTTTCTTCTGTGAAGTTTGCGGCTCTGTGGAAGAAAAGCTTTTCTTCTGTAAAGCTTGAACTTTGTGTGGGAGAAACTGTGATTTCAAATCTTTTATCCGAAGATGTTATCTGTGCCCTGGCTGAATGGGGTTCAGCAATCTTAGAGAAAGGACAGGAAATCTATTTTAGAAAACTTCAGCATGTGGGGTTTAAAAAACCCACTAGTATCTTTTTCCAATGGAAGAAAACCGAATGTCAGCAACTCTTACTGTTTTGTCATGCATTTATCTGGCATTTTCTTCAAGTGATAAATTTTCTTTCAATGTCATTGGCTGAGAACCTTGACAAATATTTATTTTAGGTAATTTTTAACCCTTGTGTAGTTGCAGGGAAAGGCTTATAAAATAACCTCCAAAAAATCTCATGCCAATGGTATGAAGAAAAAGGTGCACGTTTGTTAGATTCACCCCCCCCCCCCCCCGGAGGCTTTTTATTGTCTTTTTCTGTCTACTAATATTGTAGCTGCTTATCTGAGGTGGGGTTTGCTGTCTTGTCTTGGCTAAGGTGCTGACTAATGTTTTTTCCTGATACCTGGGGTAGATTCGGACAAATCAAACTGGGAAACTGATAATGGGATATGAAGCATTCTGTGTGTTACTTCATTAGTTCATCTGAGCTCAGTAATGAGCAAAAGTTATTGATGAGTTACACTGACTAAAGTATCTAGGAGAGAGATCCATACTTAACAGTTATTTTCAGTGGTTACCAGTGTGAGGTATGGAAGTGGACATAGACTTCTGGCTGCAGTCTCCATAGGTTGATCATTCTCTGAGAGAAGAAAGCTCAGAAGGTCCAAGGAACTATGTAGAGTTAAGGTTTTGCTTAATGTAGAAGACAGCTAGCTGGGTTTGAGTTTTCATAAACAAATCTTAACAAAAATAAATCACTGGAATAAGAAAGCTTTCCTATATTGAGACCTTGCCTTTTTTAACTTTTGCAGATCATCCTTCAAATGTAACTTGATGTCAGTTTTAGCTTCACTATTTCCTATATATTACCAATTTCTTTTCTTGAAGACTCCAAAGCAGCACATATTGGGATTTCTGTAACTGTCTTTGCCACTGACAATGTGTGATCACATATATGTCATG